TGGTGGTAAACCGTTCAGCTGTGTGAGTCTGACCCTCAGCCAGTGGCTGTGGTGCATCTTCCTGGGGCTTGGCAGCCTCCTGTGGGGTCAGGTGAGATGTCAACTTTATTTTGATAGTACATAGTAGACAGGAAATGAGGAGAGAAAGTGGAGGGATGACATGCAATAAAGTTTTCCAGCCAGACTTGTGAACTTGATTCAACGTGATTTAAACGTGATTTATGTTACCGTCCATCTTTCCTCATCAAACAGCGTCACACCCACAACAAGGTGAAAGCTCTCCAGACGTTTCCAACAACCTGATGGGAAATATTTTCCTCCTTTTCCTAGACGTCAGCAGCAGTGATGAAAAACAATAAAGTAGAAGCGACAGGAGTCAGTAACAGAGTTATTATCAATGGCAAATTAAAACAGGAGCAGATCAGAGAACAGGGAGGCTTCTTACTAAAATATGATCCAATATATACAGCATATAGTGTATACTGTAATATATACACTATATAATATATTAGATCATATTTACAGTATAAAATGAGGGAAATTATAAATAATTCAAACCTTCAGGTGGTCTCAGTAACATTTTCAGGAGTTGAGTGTTGAGGAACAGGAAGTGCTGCTGTCGTGTCTGACAGGGGTGTGATATTTGTGTTGCCCCCCCCCCAGCTGGTGTCCAGTATCCCCACCAACTGGCTCAAGTTCCTGAAGACAGCGGGTCACGGCACGCAGCAGGAGGAGATCCCTGAGGAGGAGCTGGAGGAGATGAAGGACCTCGACGCCATTGACCACGCTGAGATGGAGCTGAAGAGGAGCCAGGTGCTCTGGTGCCGAGGCCTCAACCGCATTCAGACACAGGTAAAGTTTCACCTTTAAAGGAAAATTCCACCTGGGCCAGAGAATCAGGAAATGGATCAGGCAAAACAATGTTGCACATGAAGACAAACATCAGTTTCAAAAAGATTATTTCAAATGTTTGTCCCCAAACAAAAGTTAATAAAGAAAGTAATCCTGGATTAGCTACTGTAGATAACTGTAGAGGGATCTACTCAGAACCAAACAGATGCCTGTTCATCTGCACACACATACACACACACACGCACACGCACACGCACACGCACACACAGCAGATTCAGAATGTGGTCACACTAGAAAAGTAGTGCCAAAGACTGATGAGGATCTGAATCAACAGGAAAGGCAGGAAGCCGACAGAGGAGCGACGTCTCAGCTCAGTAAACTAGTGATGTCACTGAAGCCACATTTACATCATCACAGAAAATCAGCTTTAGATGCAGCTACACCGTTACTGTGTGTGTGTTGATACACTCCTGAGCTGATGTCTGAACTTTGACCCAGGCTGCTCTGACTGTTGCAGCTGTTAGCTACTGTGAGTTAACTTAAAGATGGAGGATAAATCAGTGAGTATTTCTAAATATACCTGCGCAGTAAGGAATCATGATGACATTCAGACAAACCTGATGTTTTACACTATTTACCAAAAAGTCAGGAGCAGAAACTCCTTCAAAGAATCCTGCTACACACACGGCACAAGAGGTTAGTTGCGATGTTACTGGTGATGTCCACAGATCACATCTCATTCCAGCTGTTTAATTACAGTAAAGCTGTTCAGTTAACTGGGTGTTTTTCTCTGAAGTAGATCCCTATGCTGTTGGTCACAGAACCCAACCCAGGAGGCCGACTCCTGTTTACGTCAGTTTGGACACATTTGCACGAGGTTTCTGCCTCTTAAAAGGAAGTTTTCTTGCTCTTGGTGGGAATTGTTGCTCTATTTGAAGAACGCCTTGAGATAACTTCTGCTGTGAGCTGGCACTATGCAAATAAAAATTGACTTGACTTCACAAATGTTTTAAATTATTTCCGTAAAACTGAAGTTTATTTGGAGGCATCCATAGTCAAAAATATTTTCAGAATAAAACCCAGAGAGAAGAAGACCAGAACTTTCCTTTAACATCCTTTAACGCACTCGACTCCTTCATTAAACCCTGAACTGACCATCTCACTCTCGTCTCTCAGATCCGTGTGGTGAACGCCTTCAGAGACAGCGTGTCTCCCTACGAAGGTCTGGAGACGCCTGAATCTCGCAGCTCCATCCACAACTTCATGAGCCAGCCCGAGTTCCGCATCGAGGACTCTGAGCCTCACATCCCCCTGATCGATGAGGGCGAGGGCGAGGGCGAGGATGATGCCCCCACCAAACGAAACTCCATCATCCCGCCGCCGCTAACCGGACTGTCCAACCTGCCGCCATCCTCGCCCAACCAGAACAACAACGCCATGGACCGCATTGTCCCACTGCACAAGGACGGCTCCAGGTCCGGTCTAATCCCGTCTAACTCAGCGGGGCTGCCGCCGTGTCCGGGCAGCCCCCTGCACAGCCTGGAGACCTCACTATGAAGCCCCTGTGACCACTTCCTGTTCCAGTGGTCTGTCCTGTTCGTACTGTGTTCCTCGTGGCGAGAGCGCTGCGTCCTCTGAGAGCGGAGGAATAGAAAAACATTTTAAAAACAGACTCGCCTGGTCGTTGCTCGTCAGGAGTTCAACTGCTGGTTTTTAGATTCCAGGAAGCAGAAATGTTTCCAGATGAGTTTGTTGTTGTGTTCGAAGCGGCGGCAGGTCGACAGACTGTTTTCATCTTTCCTGATGTTTTCTTTCTTTACTTTAATGAACTCTGCAGTTGTTATTTAGGTGAAGAGTGTTTGTGAAGTGGTCAATCAATAATCAGTTTCTGATCTGTAAATATCGATGTTGATGTTCAGACGTAGTCAGGGCTCATTTAAATCTCCAGTGTTCCTGTTTGTCAGCGCACCAGCTGACGTGAGCCGACGGTGATGAGTTAAGGTTAAAGGTTAGTTTGTGTGGAGGTTTAACTTTAAAGGATGTGTGACTGAAATGTGTAGTCAGTCATCTTTAATGAGGAGGGGGTGGGGAGGGTGTATTCTTTAAGAGACGTGTTTGTAGACAGAAATGTTTAAAGTAAATGTCTAATGTCTGAATTTTATTCTAGTACTTTTGTAAAAAAATGTTTTAGCTTGTTTCAAAAGGTGTAAAACCAAAAGTTATTAAAAGTTAAAAAAACAACGGGCGGGTGTTTGTGACACGTACAGAAGAAACATTCAGGTTTAACAAACCACAAACTATTTCATCTTCATATCAAACATATGAAATAACTTCAAAGGTCACTAAACCGCATAAAACCGAACAAATGACCAGTGGTGAGGTAATACACAGGTAAAACACAGGTAATACACAGTAATACAAAGACGAAGGGCTTTGTGTAAAACTTGGTGCTCAAAGTTCCCACACAGTGTGTGTCACTGAAGTTACAAGAAGAATTTCGACCCTATTTTTACACCTGAATCTAAGTGGACAATGACAGTCTCTGGCGTCCCTATGGAAACACATAATCATACTACATAAAATAAACTTTCAAATTCAGGGAAAACCAGGACATTTCAGGCAGCTCTTCACAATACAGTATTGAGTAAGTTTTTGTTTTACTTGAAATTCATTTCACTGACCATTATTTACTCAGGTGCAAGTGATGCAGGAAGCTCCATCAGTTTCAGGTGGCCTCACACAGCTCCAACTGCAGGTACAGGAATCCTGGAAAGGTTTAAAAAAGTTTCCCTTTAAGTGAAGAAGGACTTTAATCAATCATCCATTTAAAACCCATTTAATACTCATAGTACTAAAGTATGAAATTTGACTAATAAATGTGCTAGTTTGAGAACAGCCAGCAAAGGTGGCATTTAACAGCAGCTACAGCTAACAACGGTTTGAGTCTGTACATACATATGTTCACAGAGAGGTGCCGTTCTCCTCCAGAGCAGAACAAGAACCACTGTCACCGGCTGCAGCCCAACACCGTTACAGTCCGTCTGTGGGAACCAGACACCTGCTGCACGGAGGACAACTGAGCACGAGCGACCCGGAGCTAGCTGGTTAGCAGCTGAACTTTCTAATGAAAGACACTTACATGTAGCACCTCAGGAGCAGCGAAAACATACAAATCACAACTTCCGGTCTGGACCTTCACAATATGATTAATTATCTCAGAACAGCAGAAGATTTCTCCATCTTTCTCAGTCCTGAACAGCATCTATTTGTCAGCATGTTAACCATGATGTATGAAATGTTCTGTTGAAGCAGAAAAATATTTTAAAATCAACTGTAAGTGCACTTCAGAGCAGTCATGTCCTCTGAAAAACATGAAATTGGATTAAATGCCTCTCACACCACAAATACTCTGTTTCTGTGCAGCTTTATCAACAGTAACTGGGACTATAGGTAAAAGCTGTTTTTGTATATTTTGGGGAGAGAAATGATATGAGATATAAATACACCACTGTCCCTTCACAGGCAGAGTGCAGTAACTATGGAAGAATTGAGAAGAAGAGTTTCAAAAACGTATTAATTAACTAAATCAATTGCCGTAGAACCCAGATATAACCTACAGAAATGCAGATACTGCTTCTCATAACGTTCACTGAATGCTTGAGAAACTGCAGCATCTACCAACAAAATGCTTCCTTATCAATTTTAATTATTTTATTCATGACAAACTTAAAATAAGATAGTTTGTAGGATTTCAATGTAATGGTTTCACAAGTCATATTTGTCAGTCCTATATTTATAGTCGTGTTGAAATCAATGTAATAAATTAATGTAAATATGTGATTACACGTTAACCATGGCTGCATGTTTGTGTATGGTTTCACCTTCACAAATACACAACACAGCAAAAGTAGTCCTGTTTATCTTTATCATGTTTTGTTCTTCTTATTTTGCCAATGTTGCATGAATGCATCATGAGTGCGACAACAAATCCAGAGATTACAGAGACAGCTCGCAGTAACTCCAGCTCAGGCAGCAAAACAAATCCAGACCAAACCATCGCACAGTTTGGCTTGTTTTTAATTAAGTCATTAAATTGGCAAAAAGTTTCGAAACTCAACTCTAAAATAAACAAACAAACTCAGAGGAGCTGTGTTTAAATGCTAATTTATTGATGACAGTTACAAAATTAATATTCACTGTTTCTTGAACAAAATGAAGACGACAACGATGATGATGATGATATTCTGTGCATTCTCCTGGTCGACTGTTTAAAAAGAGGATTTTAAACAGGTTCAGTACATGAGAAAAACAACTTTTTTTTTTTTTTTTTTTTTTTAAATCTGTATGTGTATTTACAATCAACGGCACATTTTTTAACAGTGCAGTGTGTCACAGGTAGAAAGGTCCATAATGTAACCGGCTGCTTTACAAACTCTGAATCATGAATGCAGAACAATTCAAAAAAACTGTCAGGAAAATATACATAAACATAATGACCTATATTTTAAAATGTGTTTTATGAACTTCACCCTGTTCAGCACTTGTACAGCCTGTTGAGCCTGATGATGTCCTTCCGGCTCATCTCTTCGGCCGCGCCAAAGTGGACATTAGGGTCAGGAATAGCCACCATGGTGGGCTGGTTGTTCTTGGAGAAGGCGTACCTGAAACAGCAAAGGAGCGGAACATTAATTAGGGTTGATAAAAGGAATTACACACCAGAAAGTCTACAATACATGAATGAGGAAATCCTTGGACAAAGAAATGAGGAAATAGGTGGAAAAACAAACAAAAAAACCCCCCCCAAAAAACTGCAGAAATATTGGACAAAGATAAAGGACATATACACACAATGTCCCTAAAAGTCACTCCAACAAATATTATTTTGACTCTTTTATTATTATTATTATTTTTTTAATTTAAAATTTAATTGTGATTAACAAATGAGAAGGAAAAAAAACCTTCTGCTGTGTAGTTGGACACTTTAACATGGGAGTCTGTGGGGACTGACTCACTGTTGGAGCCAGACTCTAGTGGCCATTAGAGGAACTGCAGATTTTAGCTCTTCAGCGTTTTCTCAGTTCACACCTGTATCTCCGAGGCCGTGCTCACACTTTAGTATTGTGTCAAACAAACTCCACTTTTGCCCAGACTGTGACATCATTTTACAAGGTTTGGCCGATGAAATACATGTAGCTTTAATTCATAATTTGAAAACCATATTTCTGCCGTTTACCACACACTCCTTTTCAATGAAAGACAAAAAGATAAACACCATGACAACTTTCCAGAGCTGTAGAATCCCCCCTCTACTCTACATGGATTTCCTGACTGTATTTTAAAAAGGACCTGAAACAACACGCCCCTTGAATGTTTTCAGTCTGAACGCCCCCTCATCCTCTCCATCACAAAGACAGCAGCTTCACCTACCTGTGGTAATGCATAACAGAGCCGTAGTCGTAGGTGGTTTCCTGGTTCAAAGTATGGATCTTGTCAAAGTTGTGCTCCATTCCTAAAGATTGAATAAAAAAGAGAACAGAATAATAAAACAGATCCATCTGTTACTGTTTTCATTAATCATGTGTCAAGTGGTATCTCTGTACAGTTTTGTTGTTAATGCCATGTTTATGTTCAACAGTCTCTGAAGCTTTGGCGCTTGCAGGGATTAAAGGAGCGTGCAGGTGCCGGGAGCAGTGACAGTGACAGGAACATTTTGACATTGAAAATTAATTTTGAGATTGAAAACAAAACAGGAACTGAAAAATGAAACCACGGCATTGATAAAGTTGTATTTGCAGTGACATAAATAGTGACACTGAAAAATAAAAATAAAAAACGGCATAAAAAACAAAACAAACAAAAATTTTGATATTTTTTGTATTATGATATTGTCACTATTTTTTCAGTGTCACTGGTTTTCAGTTTCAATTTTCTGTCACCATAACTGTAAGATTGTAGTTTTGTTGTTTTTTTTTAGCATTTTATTTGTAGTATTTTATTTTTCATTGAAACCTTTTCCAGTGCCAATATTTAGTCAGTGCCAATAAACTCTTTCCAAAGCCATTGCTTCCTTTTTCAGTTCAGGTTTTTGTTTTCAACGGCAAATTTTATTTTCAATGTCCAAATGTTTCTGTGTCTGTCAGAACCAGACCAGCTGTTTCCCCAATGTGTTCACTCTCTGTGCTATGCTAAGCTAACTGGCTGGTGGTTGTAGCGTCGTATTTAAAGGATAGATATGAGAGTGCTGTCGATCTTCTCATCAACTCTGAGCAAGAAAGTGAATAAGTGTCAAACTACTACTTTAATATTTTATTATTTTGTGGCTTCATCTTAGAATTCCAACTAAAGTGCAAATGTAAAAGCTGTGTCTTGTGAGTGATTGTAAGGATGATAGTTGTAAACAGACGAACCAGAGATGACGTTCTCCAGCACAACGCGGATGTACTGGTCGCGGTCAGAACGTTTCTGCTCATGGTGGAAGCCCAGCGCGTGGAGAACCTCGTGCTGGACCGTGTGGTGGTAAACGCAGCCTGAACTCTGCAGAGACAGATCCTGCCCGTTTTCATGACGGCCGATGAAGGAGTAGCACCTGTCACAACAATGCAGGACACACCTCAAGTCTATTTGCTGACAACAGGTCAATCATTTTGTTTCATTTTTTTTTTTTTGTTTTAGCATCAGGAAAATACCTCAAGAGATGAAATAAAGAGATTAAAATAAAGCAACCAACGGTGTCATAAAGGAAGACAAACAGGGATATGATGCTAAGTGTTTTGTCCACTTCCTGTGGTGCGTGTTTACCCGTTAAGGGACCGGATGTTCAGGTAGGCTCTCTGGTTGGAGCGTCCGACAAAACGGATGCAAGAGACGTCATGGAAGGACTTAAGGCCACGCTCGATGATCGCCACCTCACGAGTGGCTGAAGAAGCAGCAGCAGAAGCACTTTAAACCGGCTGCACCGACCACGAGACTGACATGACGCTGTCGTAAGATTTCTTATATCATAAAAAGGTTAAAGGTCGGACTTTCACATCCAAGTTTTTATTCAGAGGAAATCAAGCTGCTGAATAAAATAAGACATGTTAAAGTAATACATGCAACAAACATTAAAATTTAAAGACACAGTTCATGATCCGAATGTAAGAATAAATAAATAAATAAATAACAATACTGAAATTTTCAGTAATTCAGAAATTTATTGAAAGTTTGTTTTAATGGACTAAACAACAAAATTAATTAATTTAATGTTTTCTGATGCTAATATTAATGATTTATTCATATAACTGGTGTTTGTATATGAAAGATGAAAAATCACATTAGCGTAAATAAATAAATACATAAATAAATACATAAATGCAAAATAAAAACATTTTGGTAATAAAAAAATGATATTTCTGTATTTCTAAATGTATTTATTTATGCATATATATATAATGTATGTAAGATTTCTATCCATTTAGATGACAAAGTTTTAACATACAAACTTCTTGATTCATATTTTGGTTTAACCAGGTTTAAACATTTTAAACACACCGAGTTTATTATTACAATTACATAATGTCAGTTTTACTTGTTTCATTTTTGTTACGGCTGGAAATCATGTAAACTATTAAAATAGAAAATCTTAAAATATTAAAAATAATTTTGTGCAATTTATCTTACATCTTGAATTGTGAATTGTTGAGAGACAAAGTTGCTTTTTACTTCAATCTTGCCTTTGGATTCACATAAAGTTTGTTTATAATAAAATTTAAAAAAGCCAAATGACTCACTGTAGACCCTGGAAATGACGTAGGGCACGTAGACCCTCCCATCGGCGGACTTGGGCCACATGCAGCCGTGAGCCGTGCAGGGATCAGCATTTCTCTCAGCCTCAGACTCGTAGGCGATATCATCCTCCACGTAGGGCTCATCAGGAGAACGGACTGCAGCAGATAACGTGATCAATATTTAAAAATCAAGATCTGAGAGGTTAGTGCTGGTGACAGGGCCTGGGGTCATGGAGGTTGAATTCAGGAGTTAACAAACCTAATGCATGCTGGATATTTTGTAAATAAACTTTGAGGTGACACTAAAAAAAAAAAAAAAAAAAAAAAGTTCTTACCAACATCCCTGTTCGCTCTCTCAATCCGCTCTGAAGCCGTTAAAGCCTGACCTGTACAGGAGGGAGCCATGGAGACACACTGTCACAAACTTTACTTTGAAAATAACAGCAGCATCATATGGTGCGTTTTATTCAAAGTTCAAACATTTTGATTTTCTTTTTAAAAACACAGTGAACTTACAGAATCAGGAGTTTTCCAGAAATCACATTCAAAGAAAAATGGGAGACAGAAAAACAAAGTTTGAGTGATCCAGGCAAGTTTCCAGATCATGATTGTACATAAAAAAAACACAAGTGTATAAAATACCATTAATTATTAAAGATTGAACTGGTGGTTCTCAGTCTTTTTAGCTTGTGACCTTTTACAAAAAAAGGAAAATAGTTGTGGCTCCTTGTCATGTTGTCACCTGTAAACCTCTCAAATCATTTACATATGTCTCAACTTCAACAGCCATTTTACTGCAGAATGAGAACTTTTACTGCTGATACTTCAACTACATTCAGCTGATAATACTTCTGTACTTTTACTTAAGTAGGATTTATAATGTTTTAGCTGTAATTAAGTATTTTTACATGAATGTATCGTTACTTCTACTTAAGAAAAAGTTCTCAGCACTTCCTCCAACATGGTAAAAGAGTGAAAATGTAAAACATTTGCAGCAAAAACTCACCTCCTCCTCGGCCCAAGCCGACACAGCCACCAGGACCACAAGACCCAGAATGCACTTCATTTCAACTATATGTCAACAGTTAAACACAAATAAACAATAATCTGATTTTTGTCTCATCGGTGAGTGAAAAAACGTTAAAAAAACATAATGGTTGATGATGATACTCACGTCCGTCTGTGAGGGGAGAGAAACACAGTGAGCGAGAGGAGCAGCATCTCATTATAAAGCATCAGCTGCTCCGGAAAACCGTCCTTTAAAAAGGACATTTAAGGCAGCGAGGGAGGAAAGGGAGTGAAAATAGAATTTAGGCCCCGATAAGAAAATTTTAACCTTGATGCCACATTGCATTATTCCCATAATAAGAAGCTTTGTAATCTTGTTTGATTTAGACACTTGGCTTCAAATCTCTTCTGTCAACAGTGAGAGCTTGTTTTCCACATTTTACCAAAGCAGGGGAATTAAATCATTTATATATATATATATATATATTTTTTTTTATAATCAGTTTAATTTTACATTTTGAGTTGACTTGTAGAGAAGAAAAGTTTCTGGAAACTGACAGTACAATTTTCTTTTGTTTAAAACTATTTTTCCATTTAGTTTGTTGAATTTATCATCAAATTAATGTGATTCTTCTGATTCACTTGTCACATATATTTACACCGACACACTTTCACACCGGCAGTATATGTCAATGTACACTCACCGAGCACTTTATTAGGAACACCAGACTAATACAGATGTTGGAAACTTTCCTCTGAGACTCCATGTTGACACAGTTGCATCACATCATTTCTGCAGATTTGTCAGCTGCACATTCACAAAGGTGTTGTACTGGATTCAGATCTGGAGACTGGGGGAGGTTAATAAAGTTCACTGAACTCACATGTGACATGGAGCCTTATCCTGCTGGACGCAGCCATTACAAGACGGTAAACTGAGGCCAAGAACTATAACAATATGAGACGATTGATTGGTATTTAGGCCAAAAGAGTGTGAAGAAAACGTTCCCCACACCATCACACCTCCTCCACCTGTTGACACAAGGGGGGTTGGGTCCATGGATTCATGCTGTTGATGCCAAACTCTCAGCAGAAATCCAGATCCATCAGACCCGGCTCTCCAGTCCTCATCTGTCCAGTGTTGTTGAGTCTGAGTCGACCGCAGCTTCAGGTTTCTGTTCTTGGTGACAGGAAGTTGAGCCTGACGTTGGTCTTCTGCTGAGTGAGCTTGAGTGGTTATCTGAGTGACCGTAGTCTTTCCGTCAGCTGCAACCAGTCTGTCCATTCTCCTCCGACCTCTCATCAACAAGGCGTTTCCTCCTCAGAGCTGCTGCTCACCGGATGTTTTTATTTTATCCCAAAATTATGAGTAAAAACTCTGGAGACTGTTGTGTGTGAAAAATCCATGAGATCAGCAGTTTCACAAATACACAAACCAGGTGTGAATATTAACTGAAGCTCCTGACCTGAATCTGCAGGATGTTATAGGATAAACACAAAGTTGTGCTGTAAAAACTGGACCAGACTCAGTGAATAACTCCCTAAGGCCTATGATAACTATTAATTCAGCTACACAGACTAATGAGCAGTGATAACTAACATGTCTTTGGGGTCATCAGGTGGAACCTCCTTTCACCAGTGTTTCGTCTAGTTGGTCCCACGACACCTCCAGGAGGCTAGACAGTGATCACTGGCGTCCCAGAGTCACTCCCCTAATGCCAGCCATCACTGCTCCTCACACCCACAACTATTTTCTCCTTTACCTTGCCTATGCTACCACACACAACATTATCAACTAGGACAAAACACACCAGCAGATTCAGCAAACAAACTCCCCTAACCAGTTGGAGAAAATGGCGGCCATTTTGAATGAGGGAGGTAGAGTCAGGGAGAGGTGCCTGTTTGGGCTAGCTCTCCCCCGCCGGGTTAGGCTGTGCTCTACCTCCCCCTACTCCCCCACTCTCCAACAACTCACCTAAAACAAACAAACTCGCCTAGACAAGTCAGAGACACACCCACAGACCAATTCAAAGCACTACAAAAACCAACTCACCTGAACTAACCGCAATGGTCTCAAGAGGCTCACACAGCGCAACACCCTCCACTTAAAAACACTTCCTCTTCCTGGATTTTCTTCCTTGCTTCTCCTAAGAGTCTGTCTATCCTAAGTGCTCCCCGCTGCGGCCCCCAGCTACCATTACTTTCTTCTAATCCAAATCCACTGACTGGATCTTGCTGCCTCATCTGACATGTCTTTTACTATTTTCCTCACACTCTGTCCACTTGCTCCTAGCTCCCTTACCAAAGAGAACAACACCTTGCTACAAATCCTCTACATCCTACTTCTACTGGACAAAATCCTAACTTTCCATCCTCGCTGCTCTGCTTCTGCCCCTAACTCTGCATACCTGAGCTTTTTTCCTTTCATATGCTTCTTCAACTGAAGCCTCCCATGGAACAGTCAACTCTATGAAATATACTTTCATTTACTCCTAGACCACAAGACTATGTCAGGCCTTAACTTTGTACTGGCTATTTCCTGGGGAACAACAAGCTTTCCTCCTAAGTCTATCCTGCATTTCCCAATCACAAGCATCCTCTAAGCTGCCTTGCCTCCTTGCTGTCTTACCAACTTTCTCTCCCTCTTGAACAAACTTTATTGCAACTCTCTTTGTTTTAGACCCTCCTAAATTTGCCTGCCTCCGTAGGTCTTCTTATTCCTGCAGCTAAGCTTTTAAAACCTGGTTATGTCGCCACGTGTACCGGCCTTGCGACAGACTAACCTTACAGCCTGACAAAATGTGCTTTAGAGTTGCAGTACCTGGAACACAATGCACATAGTGGGTCTCCATTTACCCCCAGAAGTTTTAGGTTCTGGGGAGTTGGCAATACGTCATATGTTGCCCCTATCAAGAATCTAATGCTACTTTCCTCCATACTCCACAGCTCTTTCCAGCTAAGCTTTTTCTTAATCTACCACTTCCCAATTTAACCACTGTCCCTGCTTAGCCTGAGCCACTGCCTTTGCACCCCTTAATATCTCCTCCTGTCTACGAACCTGTTCCACCACTAGCTTTCCTCTTTTCCTTGGGACCTGCTCTACTCCACACCGGTTTGCCTGGGCCAAGCCCCCAAGCCTCCCCGGCCTATTTGGACATTACCCACAATCTCTGTATGCCTGAGCGTTGCTTCTGCCTCCTGCACTGCCATTCTTGGATTCCACTTTCTCCCCTTGATTGGGTTTGGAACCACCTTACTGACTACCACATCTTTACTCCCAGATAACAGGAGCTCTGTCCTAACCTTAGTACATTTAAACTCTCCACTAGACTAGTTACTGGGAGCTGAAGTATGCCTTTCCCATACAGTGCCACCGTACTTAAGCATTAGGAAACCTAGCCACTTCCTAATGTAAAAGCTAACTAATCTTTCCATTTTTTCTGCAGCAGATAATGGAATCTCATAAACAGACATTGGCCACATCAGTCTGGGAATAATCCGAACTGCAAACACCACAACTTCAATTTTCCTGGAAGCCCTGATTTATCTATTCTATCCAGTCCCTCGGCAACATCTTTCCTAAACTGCACTATCTGTTCTCCGTCCTTCAAGTCTGCCTTGTACCCACTACCTAGACTCTTTACTGATTTTTCCCTAATTATTGGAATTTCCTCTTCATCTATTACAAACTTCCTATCACTTAGCTTCCCTCTACTTAATGAGATACTTCTAGACTTACTAGGCTTAATTTTTCATACTAGCCCACTTTAAGTTTTTATTTAAGTCTCTCAAGTACTCTTTTTCATACATGGCACCGTTGTAGTTATCAACGTCATGTCATCCATGTAGGCCCTAATTGGTGTAAGGCGCATCCCATCCTGCCGCCTCTCTCCACCTACAACCCACTTAGAAGCCCTAATGATTACCTCCATCGCCATTTGTGAATGCCAATGGAGAAATCGTGCACCCTGCCATAATGCCTATTTCTAGCCTCTGCCACCCTGTCGTAAACCTGCTGTACTTACGCATAGTTTAATGTCTTGGAAATACGACCTTACTAAATTAACCACTACTCCGGCAC